ATGGAGATGCCTACTCAGATTTTGATATTGAACGACAGCTTGCACCTGTCAATCAGTTGAATACTGTGACACCAGTGCATAACAGCACTACTAGTTGTAAAACATACATACCTATGAGACGTCTTATTTTGCAGTGGTTATTTGATATTGCCTCAAGTTGTGTCTGATTGAACTCTCTGCTGCAAGCACCACCCCTAATTCTACACCTTTATATTTAACAAAAATCCATGGAATTTATTATGATGAGATTTCCAAGGAAAGAATTGTATAATGAACAATTGCATCATGGGAAGTATCGTGTTTTTTTTTAGCTTGACACAGAGTTGCATACAGTAAAGAATGGTGATGACTTGAGCTAAACATTGGTGTTTGAAGTCCTCTGAGAAATGTCGAGTGCCATTAAGCAAGGCACATGATCCCCAGAGTCTCTGATTGCACACGACACTGGTTATAATGAGCAGCTCCCAAGTGAGGCTGCATGTATTTTCATACACAACAGGCAGGTAGCTATGCTGACAACAACGGGCAAATCCCCTCCCTGGAGTGTTCAATTGGGTGCAGATCTGGCATTTTAGACAGCTGTGGCATTTGCTTGATATTGTTTTCATGTTCATCAAACTAGTGAATGACCATGCATCCCAGTGGGTGAAGGAACTGGCATGTTGCTTCTGGGAAAACTGTAAGAACATATTATATAGTGAGGGCCATATTTATTCAGTGGTTCTTACCTTGCCCTCAGAAAAAGTTGAGTGGACCACGAGCGAGCCATAATGTTTATTTCTAAAGTAGCTTTCATGAATTATATCAATATGTTACTGAAGTGCCTCCTCTATTTTAGCAGTTACACGTTATGATTCAGCACCGTACGAGATAAGACACTGAAAGAAAAGTGCTCCTTGGACAGGTACAAAAAAACGAGTTGTCAATTGAATGATTCATACTGTACCACTTAACAGAAAACGTACAAATGTTCCAGCGTGGTGCTGTTATCTACACCGTGTCCCCAAGTCTTTGCACACTGTGATTACGAAGCCTCTTAAATCTATTCTGCAAAAAACTACAAACACTTTTACTGAAGTTAAATATGGCTTTGAGACCATTCCCAAACGGGGTCACTCCAGGAGCAAAGCACTGGTAGAAGAACAAAAAAATCAATGCCTGCTTTAGATGATATATTATGACTTCTCTTGCACTAATGCATTCAGCCTGTGTGTCGCTTTTGTTTATGGCGTCAAACATTGAAAGATAAGCCAAATTGTTACCACAAAAATGCTGTGTGGAAGGTTATTGGGGTTGTTGTCCTCCTCCTACAGTACACAGGCATGTACAACTAAAAGAAACATACAAACAAATGCAATGCACATGACTGAATGGGGTGCAGATTGGAGCACAACAAAGAGCAAAAAACACCACTTAAAAGGAAACAAACAAGAGCACGCAGAATCAAAGGGGATCAAAGCAACAGATAATAGAAAGCATCACAGGTCAGAAGGACACAGTGGAGGACATAACGCCAGGGGAAAGGATACAGAACTCAGGCTTTGGAGTTGTGTGAGAAATGTTCAAGAAAAGACATCTGGTGCCAAGATGGAGGTGCATTGGATGGTTGTTGTGTGCAAACAGCATATAAAAAGGCAAAACATACCCTTTAGTGTTGATGTTTGTGAATTCAAGCAAAAACGGTCTGATCATGACGAGAGAGAACTGTAATGATGCTTTGTCTGCAGTCTATTTGGCCCTAATCCACTCTAAATGTCAAAATTATTCACAGCTGCCCAGAAATAGGACCTCCAATATGGCTGCCAGTGGGTATGTTATGTCACTTCACAGTCTGGAATACAGTGGTTTCCAAAGTTTAAATAGCTTTCACTGCAGTCTCTTAATGAGGCCCATATGGGACGCGAGGTAGATGCAATTAACTGGCTGGTAGGGACAAAAACCAGCAGCATATTGCACCCTGAAGACTGAGCTCCATGTCCTGCACTATAAGCAAACTGAGATGACCCCACATGCCCCATATCGAACTAACTGCTCCACTAATAGCAACTCCCAATACTTTTACAACTCACACTGCAAATGAAGCATCCATCGCTGTGCAGTGAGAGGGTCAGAGACACTCACAGGTAGTGCTGCGTACCGGTACGCCGAACCGGTACTGGACTTGTAAAAAGTTTCGGTTCAAGTCCGGTTAAAACCGGAACGTCAGGAACCGGTACTTACGTATATTCTCCTTTGTGTTCTAAACCATCTAAAACCTTCCATAGA